ATGGATCCAAATGAACAACACTGCAATGTTAGTAAAATTGCCTAATTAGTCATCACTGAGGGAAGAAATGTAAGCCTAAAGGCCTAAAGTTGAAACTTGTTTTGATTTTCAAAACATAAATATTCTCATTAAATTTCATTTTGAAGTGGTGGAGAAAATGCTCCTAAATATTAGGTCATAATGTATTTTCTATGCAAATATGTGTCATGACTTTCCCAACAACCCAACGACCTGATAGGATGCATTTCTTAAACTTCTGACAAGAAATTAGAGTTGCCTCTGAGTCTTATCCCTTTTATACTCTCCACCATAGAAGCAATTATCCTAGGCGTTTTCTTTTGCAATCTTTTTTTGTTTTGTTTTGTTTTTCACGAGAGATTTTTGCTATAGGGCACATGTGCTTGCCAGAGAGAAAGAGATAGAAAGCAAGAAATCCACACCCCAGGGGGAATGGCCACACCACAATCCCTTCTCCATTCTCCTCTCATGATTTTGAGCACACGCACCAGGCACGAGTTTTAAGCTACCAGATCTGGGACTTGAACTGTAGTCGACTACATGGGAATCCAGTGTTGTAAACTTTATGCCATCTGCTGGTCTCCATTTGCAAAATTTTAAAATCTTTGCAGCATGGTTCCACTCTGGCTATGTTAGAGTGTCTGATTTTGGTATTACTCTCCCATAACAAAGCACTGGAAATTAGAATTAAGATATATGAAGTATTTGTTGCCAGACAGTGGGCTCTAGGCAGTGCAGAACTATAATAAAGGTGAGGAAAGAAGAATATGAGGAAGCCCTACCAGCACAGTAACATTCTTGCTAGAAGCCCTTTCTAAACCAGTGCAGGTCAGAAGAACCTAAACAAAGCATGTAAGATTGGTTGAGAAGAAAAGACAAAAATCAGTTTGGATTGGTTGAGGCAACTAGAATGTGTATGGCAGTGTACTGGAGAAGAGGAAACTATGAAAAAAAAAAAACTACTTGAGAAATAAGCATAGAAGTCCCTCTGAGTTTGTTGCTTACTAGTAAATTAGAGACACATAAAAAGAAGGACCATGAGGCTGGGCAAATAACTGCTAGAAAGTTGTTTGCTGAGCAGTTACTAAAGCTTTTACAGGACTGGGAGATATTCAATCTCTACCTAATGGGAGTAGAAGAGACATTCCAAGCATTACTAGATACCACAGACGATTACAGTTTATTAATAGGGATAAATTAGTCTAAGAGTAAAGACTAATCCAGACAAAGCTTAAAAAGACTTAAAAGAATCAAAGGGATCTGCAAGGAACTTTACTGCCTACCAGACATTTTATACTGCCTACTTAACATTACTTAAATAAAGAAACAAAATCTAGAAACTCTATAATGCAAAATTAAGAAAGCCTAGCAGATGGTAAACAATGACTAAATATATAAAAAGGCAGGATGAATCTTATAAGAAAAAAATCAGAAAATGAAAGCAGACCTAGAAGCAGTAGATATGATGAAGTTTGCAGGCAAGGATTTAAAAATAGCTATTATAAAGAGCTCAAAATTTAAAAGAACTCCACCCCCAAACTGCAGAACTAATAAATTAATTTCATAAATTTGCAGGATACAAAATTAACATACAAAAATCAGTAGCATCTCTAACAAACTATCTGAAAAAGAGATTAAGAAAATCCCATTTACAACAGCTACAAAAAACTAACTATTTAGGAATATATTTAACCAAGGAAGTTCAAGACCTGTACACCAAAAACTATAAAAACGTTTATTAAAGAAATTAAAGATGTGGGACCAGCAGCTGGTGTAATGGCTATGTCGCTAGACTCCCATGCAGTCGACTGCAGTTTGAGTCCTGGACCCGGTGGCTTAAACTCATGCTGGGCACGTGTGTGTGCATGCCTACGATCCCCAGAGGAGAATGGAGGAGAAGGGATTGCGGCATGGACATCCCCCCTGGGGGTGATTTCTCACTTTCTGTCTCTGTCTCTCTGGCACGCGCCCTATAGCAAAAACCTCTCAAGGAAAAAAAAAAAAAAAAAGGAAATTGAAGATGAGACAATGACAGAATGATGACAGAATGACATATTTTGTTCATGGATTGGAAGAATTAATATTGTTAAAATGTCCACACTACCCAAAGCAATCTGCAGATTTAATGCAATCTCTATCAAAATTCCAATGTCATTTTCACAGAAATAGAAAAAAGTCCTGGGACCAGCAGGTGCTGTAATGGTTATGTTGTTGACTGTGGTTCGAGTCCCAGACCAGGTGACTTAAAACACGCAGGGTGCATGTATGTGCATGCTCAAAATCCTGAGAGGAGAATGAAAATGAAGGGATTGTGGAGTGGATCATCTCCTCTTCGGGGTGGGTGATTTCTTGTTTTCCATCTCTTTTGTCTCTCTATCTCTCTAGTGAGTGTATGTACCCTACAAGAAAAAATTCTCTCTAAATAAAAAGAAAAAAAGTCCTAAAATTTGTGTGGAACCACTAAAAACCCTAAATAGCCAAAGTAATCATGAGCATGAAGAGCAAAACTGGAAGCATTACACTTCAAAATATACTACACCTGACTTCAAACTATACTACAAGGTCAACAGGTTGGGGCACTGAACTCCCACATTATTGACTGTGGTTTGAGTCCCAGACCTGGCAGCTTGCTTTCTTGCTTTCCATCTCTGGTCTCTCTGGTGAGTGCACGTGCCCTGTAGCAAATTTAAAAACACAATAATAATAATAAATGCAATTAAGTAAATAATTCTAAAAAAAGCTATGCTACACGCTGGACTCCCTTGTAGTTGACCGCGGTTTGAGTCCTGGACCCAGTGGCTTAAACTCATGCCAGGTGTGTGTGCATGCGTGCCCAAGATCTCGAGAGGAGAAAGGAGAAGGGATTGCGGCGTGGCCATTCCCCCTGGGGGGTGATTTCTCGCTTTCCGTCTCTCTGTCTCTCTCTGTCTTTCTGGTGAGCGCACGTGCCCTATAGCAAAAACCTCTCCAAAAAAAAAAAAAGTTATGCTACAAAGGTACGGTAGTCAAAACAGCATGATAGTAGCATAAAAACACACATATAGATCAATGAAACAGAAAAAAGAGCCCTGAAATAAATCTACATATTTATGATCAATCAACTTGTGACAACAGTGCCAAGAAATTATGATGAAGAAAGAATAATTTCTTTTGTGTTGGGAAAATTGGACAGTCACATGCAGAAGAATGAAATTAGACCCCCATCTCATACCATATATAAAAAATCCATGCAAAATGGATTACTGACTTAAACATAAGAAACTGCATAACAACTAAAAAAAACATAAAGGCAAAGC